GAATAGCGATGGCTTCCAACCTAATAGCGATGGCTTCCAACCCAATAACGATGGCTTCCAACCTAATAGCGATGGCTTCCAACCTAATAGCGATGGCATGCGATGGCTTCCAACCTAAAAGCGATGGCTTCCAACCCAACAGTGATGGCCTCCAACCTAATAGCTTACCGAACATGACTAGGAGTGACCCTATTGTCATGATATGACTTACTGTAGCTTTTTAATGTTGTATACTTAGTTCCCTGGGCCATCTGAATGTACTTAGCGCACTATGATGCTTGTTTGCAACGTGATACAGCTTATGCGAACAAAACAAATAGCTTCTGCAACTCATCCCTTGACAAAGCCTCAAGCAACTCATCAGCTCATCCCATCGAAGTTCTGCTTTTGCTGTGGCACCGGGCGCAGCTAGGCTCCCACCGCTGCAATACTCTAAGAACAAATGCAGCTTCTCCGGGCCTGGCCCCGCAACGATGTCCGGATGGCCGGCTGGGTCAAGGTTCTGTAGGCTGGACAAAAGGGATCAACCTATCACTGCCTGCATTACCTTTATGTACTCTTTAAATCAGGAATCCGCCCTTCAAAGCATGGCTTGCATTGGTTTCCACTCTCCGTACCAACAGATTTGGACACAGAGCAGGCCCCTGACCTCCCTGCGCCCCCCATGACAAACTCGTGGCCGTAGTAGCTGACGATGAAGGGATGTTCCAACCTGAGATCGGGGCTTGGAACAACTGGAATGTGTGATGCGAGACATGGGGCGGGGCGCCCAACCCGCTTGGGGGTTCATCAGCAGCTTTTCGTGTGAACAGCGTCCTCTGGGGAGCAGCCAGCGGTCAAAAGCGGAAGACTTGGAGCTCAAGACCTGGCAAACCCATGTGATGCAAGGGCAAGGAATCAAGACGTATGCTGCCGCCAATATTGTGGACTCACAATGATCCGTCCTAGAATGTGTACAAATATGCATCCCCAATCTGTGGCAGTAGATTGTTTGGTGTTTGTTCCACATAACTTTTGCACTTTCAACTTCAAATTCTTGTGGGTTGATAGACTCAGTACTTCATCTTGCCGTCCAAAAATGAGTATTACATCGCACATGGGAGGTGAAGTCATTGACGCAAAAAGGTCTCCTAAGTAGATCAAACAAACTGAAGAAACATGAAACATTGTTTGCCGATTAATATGGATCCAATCACTTATAAAAATCATCAATTAGCTCGCTGTGACCATGGGTCACGAATCTACAAACCCTCTGAATGCTGCACTCGCCCCGACTCGCCCGGCTCGCTCCGCTGGGCGTTCCGGACTGCTCGCAAAGTCGAAGCTCACGAGTGAGACGCACGAGCCTGGTAGCACGTAGCAGGCAGCAAGTAGCTAACGATTAAAAGCGCCATTGGTGGCCAGACAGGTACAGGCCAAGATCATAGTTCCCACCTAGTACCAGCCATTAAACCAGTTTGATTCGATTCTTCATGTTGCTTCGGGGAGGGGGCCTACACCCAAGATCTCTCATCCAAGTGTGCAGCACGTGAGCAAACGGCGATGCTCCCACAGTGTCACAGTTCACAGGTAGTGAAGGAGAGGTTGACCAATCGGCTACCCCAAGATTTGAAATGGCCCCATGGATGGATCTTAATGAATCATAACCATGACGATGAAGCTCAGGAGGATTGTTGATCCAGGCCGAGGATGAGGAGGAATATGAGGACCAGGAAGAGGAGGAGGATGTTGAAGCGAGAAAGAACCAAACCGATGTTGTTGCGAACACGAGCAGTGACCATGCAACTGGGTTGTACCATGATGAGTCTTACAGACTCAGCTTGCACCATGTGTCACAAAATACCCACGATATCCCACGATCACTAGCCTAAGGTCAACCAGTAGTTCCACACAAATCCAGATCCCTTGCTGTGCTTTGAAGGGAACATCATCTTCCCAATCTGGCGGGTTGGTTCATATCGACCACTTTGTTGAAGTGATCAAGGGGATCGCAGGGAAATTATAGAAAGCTACCAGCTCTTGTGCCACATGAACATTGCCCTTAAGTCCGGATATCTCCACTCCCGCATTCCATCCCACAGAACTGCCCCCGACTAGATCCGCTACCGATCGCCGCGCAGAGTCGCTCCCAATCGCTACCGATCGCCTATCACTACGCTCTTCCTTGGTACGTCCCGCACGATCCAGGAGCATCTCCTGGCGCCATCACTTCATCACACCCTCACGCTACTGGGAACAAGTGCCTTACTAGTAGTAACAGGTGCCTTACTACTAGTAACAAGAAGCTATTAAAAACAATAAGCTACTAGGAACACTCAAGGCTTGGGGTCCCGAAGGCGAGCTTTCTCGAAGGCGTCTGATTGGGCGGTTGTATATCCAAACAAATATCCAACACATCCATGCAATGGAATAGTGTCTTACATTAAGATCATAACATGGGGTATGTAACCGGTATGTATGTATCTGTTCCATACATGGATGGCCTGAAATAATACATGTTTCTCTTGAGTTCTCTGGGAGTGTAGTGATACTGGACATGTTCTTATCAGCGAACAAAACTATAACTGACATCATACCCAGCATTGCAGCATGGAGGTGGGACAGCTTCTTGTTTTTGTTCTTTCTTGTTAATTACTTTACTTACTCACTCTTACTCTTGCTCTGTCTTCAATCTTTAGCCGATCTGCAAAGGGTGTGCACTATCGGAGGTACAGGAGGTCCAACCCGGCAACATTCGTCTCAGAACATCTTTGTGCCTTCACTGCCACGATCTCACCCGTGGTCTTACGCCGCGCGGCGAACACGCAACCTCACCGATGAGTTGGCTCTGCATAGCTCCGTCTAGCTCTGCAGCTTTTTGGACAAGACCAAACATCTGTGAGATCAATGCTGGATGGAGCCCGGTGGCTCTTCCCTGCATCTATTACATCTATTTACCATCTGAAGAAACACTAACCAAAACATAACCAGCAAATGCCAGTCAATTTTCACTCACTGGTGATCACGCCAAGGGGCCGTAGCTGCCAGCGCCCAGCAAATCTCCACGATGGAAGTCCCGGGCCAAGCGCAGCTGGCCTCACATGTGGAATGACTCGAGCAGCTCAAAGAGTACAAATAAAGGTTCTCCGGGATCTGGCCTGTATAGAATTGTTTGTTGAGGTGTGGATCGACTACGGATTCAACACATGTCACTTTTCTCCAGTGTTGAATCTCTATTTGTTGCAAGCATTTTGGATGCATGTTAGACACGTGTATGCACTCACCTCTGGAAAGAATGTCGGGCAC